CTTGTGAAAATATTTTTTTACTATTAACTATTTTTTTTTTAATCTTCGAAAACTAATTAAGAACTAAAAATACCCGTAAAAAAAAAAACACTTAAAAGATACGTGTTAGAATAAAAATGTTTTTTAAACCAATACATACGTAAATTTAAATACGTAAATTCGTAATGAATTATTAAAAAAATAAAAATAAACATAAGCGTACTTAGATCTATCGCGAAAGATTCAGTTACGTTCTGCGACAGGTACTTTCGAATCAATACGATACCTCAAAAATTAAATTTTTTTGATGAAGTAATTTTTGAAAAAAAATGACGAACTTGTGATTCGAGAACCATAATCGCATTTAATACCGATAAATTTTTGTAATTTTTATTTTATCTATCGTAAAATAAGAATATTATAAAAATAATATTTGTATGTTATAAATTCGTACTTAATTTCAAGATATTAAGATTTAATATTATTTAACCGTATTCGATCACTTTTAAACAGACTCATTAAATTAATAATCTGATAAGCATACTAAAAATTACATTAAATTCACATGTCAAAAAATGATTTAATGTTCGTTTGAAGAAATGTACTAATAAAAAATAATCCGCAAGTCAAAATTATAAATTTAAAAAAAAATATACTCGGTGAATTTTTGATTCGATAATATTAAATATTTAGTAATTAAATTATTTTAATTAGAATAATTATAATGTGTTGTGAAAATTTATAGATGCCGTATGAGGGTGGAAAAGCAAGTTCTTACAAGTCAAAAAGAGCACTAGAAAAGTCAATACCACAAAAAGTCTAAAATATATTTTTATTTATAATAAAATCCAAAAGAGATCCCGTGAGTTACGAGTGACGACAAATTCTACTGAATGTATCAAACAAAGGCGTCCGTCTTTTTCTATTAAGATGCTCTGCATGTCACTCTAGTCCTTTTACCTCACATTTTTATTTTTTAATATTAATTAATTAATTAATTCATTACTTACTTAATTAATTATCTGGGAGCCTGCGGTTGCTGTCTAGAATCTACTGCGGGAGGGTGTCGCAGGGATTAAATATAATATTCCTCTCAAGTGGGGTCCGCCTAAGTTGATCTTCGTCGTCAGATTAATCTCGGTTATCCGACGGTCGTGATCTTTTCATTTTGTGGGCCATCTTTGACCTTGACTCTTAAAACAAGGTCTAGATTTTGGCCTTTTTTATGTACTTTTTCAACCCCTTTTCCGTAAAAATAATTTAATAATAAAAAATATATTATTTTTCTAAATTTTGAAATTTTATTAGAATAATTTAAACCATAAAAAAAAGTTATGAAAATAATTTCGTGTTTGATTTATATTAAATTTTAATTCCAAAAAATTTGAGTTTTTTTTTTAATATTAATATTTAAAAAAATAAATAAATAAAGAAACAGGTAGGTGAGGGGAAGGGGCTGTAGTCCAGTGGAGAGGACACAGGATAGTACAAAAAGTACACAGTAAAAGTCTTCATTTGTCAACACCATGGATCCTATGAAAGTTGACCCTTGACTTTTATGGGTTATTGACCTTTGACTTTTAGTTTTACAGCAAAGAAAAAGCATAAACACCTTAATTTAATTTAGTGGGTAAAATTATTATATTTTATTTGAAATTAATGAGTTCGAATTTTATTAATGATTCACTTTTAATAATTAATTTATTTAAATTAATAATTTAATTTATTAATGTATCAGTGTAGCTGTAATAAATAAATTTAATTAAATTTTAATAAATTATTAGTTTTTTTTTTTTGAGAAAAAAAATTATTTTGTGAAAAATAAAGTTTTTTTAATTAAAATAATTAAAATTTTTAGAGACGTCAGGATTTTCAAGAGGCATCCCAAGAAACTTACTTTTACTAAGAGCTGACTGAGGAGGGCCAACACCTACTTGTTACATACAGCTCATAATAAGATTCTCATGTATAATTTTTATGAGTTGATTTTGCTTAATTATGCTATTTAATTTAGGAATGTTTGTCTATCATATATATA